CACATATTTCATATTTACTATTGCGGTTTTGAAAATATTGCATAGAATATGCAATTTTGTGAAAATATTGTATTCTTAGTTTGTAGACTTGAATATCAGTTTATACATGTTTTACTAAGTCTATAAAAACATTTCACAAAGTTTCAAAAGTTGGTTTATGTCAAAACATCAAAATTCAAGTATCTCATATTTTTATGTTTTGGATTATTTTGTAAAATGATGGTATTTTTCATTTGGGAAGTCCTTTTTGGAAACCAGTCATTGTAGCATGTTTATTATCATGTCTACAATTATTCCCCAAAGTTTTACATTTTTTGGAATTTATTTGATATTTTAAACAGCATTTTAAAATCAGCAAATCAGATTTTTTGCATATCAGTTTTCGGTCGACCGATCCGGTCGACCGCTCGTTTGTTCTTTCGTCAGCATGGTCCAGAGAGTTGGTCGGTCGCCCGGTCCGGTCGACCGAGAGCTCCATCTGTCGACCGCACCGGTCGACCGACGATGGTCCAGAACTGCTTCTTCATGTTTTTGCTCTTCGTCGGTCGACCGACGAAATTTCCGGTCGACCGACAATAGATCCGTTGCTTTTTCAACGACTATTTCCTGAGCTGTTTGCTGGGGCTGTTTTTGTCTTTTGTTAAGGGTTTTGACTGAGATTTAGAGTGGGTATAAATACCCTATTGCTTCTCTCTTTCAAAGGCATCCAAGAAGTTTTTAAACAAGTTTTAAATAAGGGTTTAAGTGTGTTTAAGAGTTTGTTTTGTTTGTGAAGAAGTTTTCACAAGTGGAGGAGATCATCTTCTTGTTTGGGCTCCAATCTCCATCTCTCCATCTTGTCTTCCATTGAGAAGTTTTCTAAACTCTACTCTAGCTTTCATTTATTATTTGTTAATTATCATTTCTATTAAAGCTAGTTTTATATTGAGTTTAGTTGATTTGATTTTATCTCATTGTTACACACACCCACTTTGAGCTTATTGTATTTGCATATATAGTATATTAGGGTTGTGAGAGATTGTAACATTGAGTTGTGCTTAATTGAGTTCTCATCTATTGTAGAGAACAAATTTATATTTGTTACATTGTGAGTATTGTAAGGTTTTCGGTGAGCTAGAAAACCGAGTGTGTTGTGAAGTTTTCGGTGAACTAGAAAACCGATTGTGAGGAGTGGCGTTGATCAGTGAGCGTTAAAAACCAATACTGTGAGGTGTAAACATTATTCGGATGAACGTAGAAAACCCGGTTGTGATAGTGGATTTTTCCCCGGGAGTGGGGAGCGGAGACGTAGGACGGAAGGTCCGAACTCCGTGATCACATCTTGTATTTGAGTGTGCCTTAGCGTTTATTTATACTTGTGTTTATAATTCTTGTTGCCATTGTCATTAGATCATTATTTATATGATCCACTATCTAGTTCATATTGTTTACCCTTGTATTAGTTTATATATCCTTGCATATATATTTCATCATATAGGATATATCTCATTGTTTACATTGCTTATCCCAGCTCATATATCTTGTGGTATTTCATACTTGCTAGGATAACTTATTAATTAATTTTAATTGGCATTTAATCGAATTAGATTAGCATAAGACCCTAATCACCCCCCTAGGGTCTAACAGTATCGTCACACAGTACACTATGTCAGGTTCACCTAGCATGAATGGTGTAGCTGAAAGACGAAACATGACTCTTAAGGATATGGTAAGAAGTATGATTGCTCATTCTTCTTTACCAGAGTCTCTCTGGGGAGAAGCACTAAAGACATCAACTTACATTCTGAATAGAGTACCAAGTAAAGCAGTTGCTAAAACACCTTATGAGCTTTGGACTGGTCGAAAGCCCAGTTTAAAGCACTTACATATTTGGGGATGTCCAGCTGAGGCAATGCCTTATAAGCCAAATAAAAAGAAATTAGACTCCAAAATAGTTAGCAGCTACTTTATTGGGTACTCTGAACGCTCTAGGGGCTATAAGTTTTATGATCCCACACTAAGAAATATTTTTGAGACGGGAACAACAACATTCTTTGAGGATGTTGAGTTTGGGGGGAGAAATAAGGTTAGAGACATTAGTTTTGAGGAGGAATTGGCTTCAGACCCAATCCATTTAGTTACTTTTGACAATATTTAGGTTCCTATACCTGTTGTTGCTCAAGAAGTAAATCCGGAACCTCAAGATGACAATGTTGAACAACTCCCTGTTCCAGAAGAACAAACTCAACAACCTCAAGAACTAGTGCCATTAAGGAGATCCACGAGGAAAAGAAAAATGCTATTCCGGATGATTATATTGTATTTCTCCAAGAACATGAGGAAAGTAATGGAATGTTGGAAGATGATCCAATCAACTTCCTTCAGGCCATGAAAAGTTCTAACTCTCAACAGTGGATTGATGCCATGAATGAAGAGTACAAGTCTATGCAAGACAATAAGGTTTGGGAACTTGTCCCATTACCAGAAGGTGCAAAACCAATTGGTTGTAAATGGATTTTTAAAACCAAGCGGGATGCAAATGGTAATGTGGAGAGGTATAAGGCACGTCTTGTGGCTAAAGGCTATACTCAAAAGGAAGGCATTGATTATACAGAGACTTTCTCTCCGGTTTCATCGAAAGACTCTTTCAGAATAATCATGGCACTTGTTGCTCATTATGATCTTGAGTTACATCAGATGGATGTTAAGACTGCATTTCTCAATGGAGACATTGATGAGATGATTTATATGGTGCAACCAGAAAACTTTGTGTCAGGAGACCCAAAGAATATGGTTTGCAAATTAAGGAAATCCATCTATGGACTCAAGCAAGCTCCTCGTCAATGGTATCATAAGTTTCAACAAATAGTTATCTCGTTCGGTTTTGAGATGAACATTGTTGATGACTGTGTATATCACAAGTTCAGTGGGAGTAAGTATATTTTTCTGGTTCTGTATGTCGATGACATCTTGCTTGCCACTAATGATATAGGCATGTTGCACGAAACCAAGAGATTTCTATCAAAGAATTTTGAGATGAAAGATCTTGGGGACGCCTCTTTTATATTAGGGATCCAGATACATCGAGATCGCTCTCGGGGTATTCTTGGATTATCACAAAAGAGCTATATCGATAAGGTACTTAAAAGGTTTGGCATGCAAGATTGCAGACCAGGTGACACCCCTGTTGCTAAAATGGAAAAGTGTCAAACAGACACTAGTAGCTTCCTCCACTATGGCAGCAGAATTTATAGCTTGCTATGAGGCATCCAAGGTTGTTGATAGCGGATCGCGTCGCGTCGCGGCGAGGTACCGCTTAGACTATTGCGGCAAAATAGCGACAAATAGCGCACAGTCAAATAGCGGTCAAATATTAATATATTTAAATATTCCAAATAATAAGAAAAATCATATAAAAATCTAAAAATCCTATAAATGCATACATGATGCCTATACATGAAATCGGCGAGAAGGGTCATCGGTCGAATCGGCGCGGTCGCATGCCACAAGAATGATTTGAACTTGGTCCCTGCAGGAAAACCACTCTCAGGACTGCTAGTGGTATAGAAATGAGCATCAACCTTCTTCAGTAGATTATTAACCCCTGAAGGAGTGAGTGGTGCCAGCTCACAAATAGCAAAAGACTGTTAGTTGTCCTTCTTCAACTTTCAAGTCTCTAATATAAAAATGCTCAACAATAAAAAAAATCATTGATTAGTATCATCATCATCATATTAACTACTAGAAAGTTGACCTAAAAATAACATATTCAAGTATAGATAAATGACTAAATGAGTAAAGCAAGATAATATCATGAATCATGATAGATAATAACAGTCTATGGATACTAGGCAAGCAATAAAGATCAAACATAGCATTTGTCCCATGGGCAAACCAGAAATTCTGTGCATCTCATGGAGGGCCAAGCCCAACTCCCCTTGCCGTGTCAGAAAATTGTTCGAATCCGGGTTGTAGAGCTCGCACAAAGCGAAGAAATGCTTCGTGCTAACAGGCAAACCAAAAGTGAAGTGACTAAAGTCTGAATTTGAGCAATGACTCATCATCACTCATCATCATCATCATCATCAGCAGTGCCAAGTAGCAAAATCTCATCTCTCAAAGCATCCTCGTCGCTATCATCATCATCAAGTTGGATATCCTCCTCATCTGAGTCCGATTCATCATTTCTTCCCTCCTCTTCGTCCTCCGAATCTACCTCTTCGTTGGCCCTTGAACTAGAAGCCATATTCGCCCTCTTTGTGGTCCTCCTCGGCTGCAAGAACTCATCTGTTCCAGCTGCTTCGGAGATAACTCCTAGTGGAATATCGGTCCCTGGATAATAATCCTCTTCCTCCTCGGAGTTATATCCATCCACCACCCATGCAGAAGCGTGCCGACCGTCTTTAGCAAGTAGGATGTCCCTCTTCTCTCCATCCTTTCTTGTTGTATCCATCTTAGTTCTGATCCTCAAATTGAATTGCACATAGACTAGATCGCTCAATCTCTTGCTATTGAGCCTATTTCTTTTCTTTGTGTGGATCTGTATTCAAACATAAAAATATCATTTCTTTCGAATTATCAATTATCATTTTTTGAATATGAACAATTGCATATGAAAATTAAAACAATGTAGTGAGTGATTACCCCTTCAAAATAACTCCAATTTCTTTCACATCCAGAGGAGCTACCTGTCAATCTCAATATCCGAAGAGCCATCATTTGCATGTAAGGCATGTCTCCACCAAATGTGTCCCACCAATGAGCTGATTCAAGAGAGTAAAGCAAATTAATCAATTGATTGATTTTATATTTTGATTCAATCTCAAAACTACCAAATAAAATAAAATATATATATATATCAAATTTATGTATATAAGTTAATACCTGGATTACGGTCCTCAGCAATTCTCTTGACTACTCTCTGTGCTCTTGGCTTTCCATGGATGAAAGCATCACAATCCCTATACTTCAACAACTCAGTAGAGTAGATAGCATCAACAACAGCCTCATCAATAGTATCTTCATTTCTAAAAAATAGCTCAGCACAATCAAGAACTGCTTGCTTAGCTTCTGCACTCTTCTTAGCCACCTCATCCTCCGCATAATAGAAAAGAGGATTTAGGAACCATGCAGCTAGGTGAAGAGAACTATCAAGCCTATTCTTAGCATGTCTTTCTATAATGGATATGATAGGCATATAGCTCTTCTCGGTCTTCAAAGCAGTCATGATTTCCCTCTTCACTTGATTAAGCTCTCCAATAATAAATCCCATTGAGGGACAAGTATCTGAATCAACCATGCGTAGAAATTTGAAAAGAGGCGTGAAGACCTTCAAGCAACTCCTCACACCTCTCCAGAAGGTTCTCGATATCACCGTAGCATTTGCTGTAAGAGCTTTCTTCTTTGCAGCCCCAACAAATTTCAAACTCGTAAACTCATCCGAGTTAAACATAGCCATCAATGCATCCTTCTTCTCCAATAGACTCCCTAATGTGAGGAATGAGGTGGCAAATCTAGTGGTGCCCGGCCTGACAATATCCTTCCTCCTCGTGCACTTACGCATAAGTGCCAAAGTCCTGGTGTGGCCATAGATAAAAACAGTCAAAGCCCGAGCCTTCTCAATTATATTCTTAAAATTTGTCAATTTTCCAATATCCTGCAACATGAGATTGGTTGTGTGCGCCGCACAAGAAGTCCAAAAGATTCTCGGTCTCTTAATTTTTAGCTTCTCCTTTGCAGCCATATTCGCCGAGTGATTATCAGTGACAACTTGTACAACATAGTCTGCCCCTATCTCCTGGATGCACTGATCAACCCACTTATAAATAAAATCTCCGGTATGAGATTCAGCAGACTTCTCTATCGAGTTGTAGAAAATAACTCCGGCACTAGAATGAATGCACATGTTCATAACACATCTGTGTTTTCGATCAGTCCACGAATCTGTCATCAATGTGCAACCGGTAGTCTCCCAAAGCTTCTTATGTGGCTCCAAACCAACTGAAGTACGTGATACTGCCTTCTTCAACAAAGGCTCCCTCAACTGATACATCGTTGGTCCCACATAACCTGGACCAAACTGACCAATAGCTTCACACATATTGTTGAAAGAAGGAAGCATCAATGCATGAAATGGAATTCCTGATTCATAGGTCCAAAGAGAGACCCATTCGTGGACCAACTCCTTTCTTCTTTTGCGCTCAGCTGCATCAACTGTTGTTTGCTTCATAGTTAAAGATGATGTAGGCTCCTCTGGTAAGAATGTAGCATATCGATGGATAGCTCCAAATTCACGGGGCCTCTTGTTTCCAATCTTAGTGATCTCTTCCGCATTCTCAATTCTAGAATTAGAAATGTCGACATCCTGCCTACGCTCAATCTCAAATCTTATCTTGTCTGACTTCTTACCCTTAGTTTCAGCCATTGCTGCTTTTACTCTCGCAATAATGTCAGGTGTCACTTTCTTGCATGGTTTTGTATTCCCTCGGCTACCAGCTAAGTGCTCTTTCTGACGGGAAATGCCACCGGTGGTTTCATGTCCACACAGAGTGCACTTGATCTTATTCTTCTTTGGCCATTCTGGATAAATTGCCTAATCCCATCCAATATCATCTGAAGGCCGTGGATGTGGGTGTTGAACCGAAGCTTGAGCCTCGGCAGCTACATTTGGTCGGCCCTGGGTGCTACCTGACTCTCGATTTTGAGAACTCATCAATGGATTAGAAGCTGTAGAGGACAATTCCATATAATGGCTGAAATTATACCTATTCAATGAACAAGAACAAAAAACAATATAATTACAAGAAATAAACATCATTGTTGTAAAGGTTCATACAATAAATTAAACATGCTATATTTCTTCATTCATTCAATATAAGTACCAGAAATAAACAAATTACAGTGTGAGATTTCATTTCTTGTATTATTTCTTCAATTTTTTATTCATACAATAAATAAACATGCTATATTTCTTCATTCATTTGATAACTCAATAAGTTATAAATTTATAATGATTTGATTGATTTCAAATGTTGATTATACAGGTTTTCTGGAAGTTAGAAATCTCAAGGACACTGATCTCTCCTTTGCAGCTAATGATTATGAAGATCAAGCCGTTCATCGCATACATATTAATTAGTTGTAAATTTTTTGTATTATCATGAAATAACATTTGTTGTATGAATGAAATTATGAAGAAATTCAAGAAATATAGCTAAGTGCTAGAAGCTATCTTTAGAGAAATGTGAGTGGGCAGAAGAGGCACTGGGATTTCTCAGGTCATACTCATGCAAGACAACTATCTCCTGCAAATCATGCAATCCTATATGATATTTGTGCTATCTATTAGCAATAAAATAAACTCAAACTTTTGAGAAACAGTTTACATCAAAACCACACTAATTGTTTTTTAATTGATAAGCCGTTCACACATATTTTATCCCAAAGCATGCTGCATTATCAATTGTATAGCACAAAAAATATCTAGCAGAGCTATTTCCAAATAACCCACAACAGAGAACAAAATAACCCCACAACAGAGCTAAACAACAGAGAACAGTGTTCATTTAGGAACTCATATTAATAAACAGAAATTGTAGTTCATTGAGAGGGAAGACAGAAATTGGTTAAAAAAAGATGAAATTGGATAAAAAAGAAGGTTTAGAGGAGATTTACACCTTTTCCTCTGTTGCAAAACTAGCCAACAGAGCTGGAGCTTGGAGCGGCAGAAGGAGGCTGGAGCACTGGAGCTGGAGCTTGGAGGGGAGCTGTTCGCTGGAGCTTGGAAGTTGGAGCGGATCTGTTCGCTGGAAACTGGAGCGGCTAGGGTTCGGACTTCGGAGCGGCTAGGGTTCGGAGATGCTTGGAAGCTGGAAAGTTGGAGCGGCTAGGGTTCGGAGCTTGGAAGCTGGAGCTTGGAAGCTGGAGCTTGGAAGTTGGAGCAGCTAGGGTTCGGAGCTGCTTGGAAGACGAAGGAGGCGGCTAGGGTTCGGACTTTGGAGCTGCGGAGAAGACGAAAATTCGTCGTGGCTGATTTTTTTTCCCTTTTAACGAGTCGGGTTCGGGTTCGGGTTCGGGTCGGGTTGGGGGGCGAAAAATTTGACAGCGTTTGATAGCGGGTTTCGGGTTTAGCGGATTTTCGCCGCTTTTGAGCGCTTTCGGCTACTTTTGAGCGCTTTTACGCGCTATTCGAGCGCTTCGCGGTTTTTTCCGCTTAATACAGTCGCGAACCCCCAACGCGTAGCGCTGAAGGGCCGCGATCCGCTATAGCCCCGCTATTTGCCGCGATTTACAACACTGGAGGCATCCAATCAGGGAATATGGCTGCGAAATTTTGTCACGGGACTGCGCATTTTGGAAAATGTTGAAAGACCATTAAAGTTATATTGTGATAATAAATCTGTAGTAATGTATTCCAATAACAATAGAAGCTCAACTAAGTCAAAACATATTGACATTAAGTTCCTGGTTGTGAAAAAAATGGTACAGAGTGGACAGATATCCATAGAGCACATTGGGACAAACTCCATGATAGCTGATCCTCTTACTAAGGGATTGCCACCCAAGGTCTTTCATGAGCATACTGCTCATATGGGTGTGGTATTATTTGAGGATATTATGTTTTAGTGGGAGTTTGTAATTGTGGTGCTTTATGTTTGGTTGTATTGTCTGATCAGAATAAAGTATTCAGTTAAGACACTCTGTTACATTATGTTTGGTTTTGACCTCACTAAGGAGGACCAGTTGAAAATAGACATGTACTGATCACATTGCATGTAATTTTCATGCTGCACATCCATGATTGATCTATGTCGTTTGATTGTATTGGTATATGTGACCATTGATGGGTCGAGTCACGATAAATGTGACGAAGGCCGCTTTGATCCTATATTGATATAGTCAATGGACGAGATTGTTCGGAAATACCATTTCAGTGATAGCAATTTTTGAGCTCATAAGGTTATACACAGTTTAAGGAATCATATGGTGCCCAAGTGGGAGATTGTTGGATTTAATCTAATAAATCTAATTGTGGGCACATATGATTAATCAATGTGTATTGCTATCTTTTAGGATAACCCACTAAAATGATCAATAAAGTTGGATTAATGGGTATTTAAATAAGTCATGGGGTTATATGTGCAGATACCAGGTTGTAATTGTGATTTGTTGAGGGGCCAAATTATAAAAGTACAACATCTATAAATAAGGGGTTATGGTCCCTAATCTAGGGTTACATTCTCTAATTCTCTTCATCCCCATCTTGAGAGAAAATTCGGCTATAGAGAAAACCCTAAGGTTAGAAGATCCAAAACTCATCTCAAGTTTTATCTATGGATTCAGGTATAAGCTTCCGCTCTTTTGATTCTTGTTAATCTCTTCGAATTAATAATGACTTTATGGTTTTAGATCTTAAATTTTTATTAGATCTAACACGCACAACTGAAACTTACCTTATTATAAACGCAAACAAGAACACAATGCAAATTTATATCATAAGCTATAGTTGCAGGTTGTTCGAGCTGTATGTGGTAGCATTCTTTAATATTTCTTAGACACATACCTAACATTGTTCCTACGAGCCCTCATTACAGAAAATAATAGCTGGCCTGGCATAGCGCCAATTGCACATTATCTTGTTATAAGAATGAAAAAATTTCTTTTCTTGGACTTAATTGAAAATTTGGCAAAGCCTAACTGGCTCTAAAGTCTCCGCAAGTTTGTTTATAGGAAATAATTACCTTTAGTGACATTAATTCATCAATATTTAGTTCGTTAATTGAAAAACAAAACCTAGGAGAACTGATCTGGCAATTTGTGCAATAATCCAAACGTTAATCTTCCCTATCATGACTGAAAAACGCTCAATATTTTCTTAAATAACAAAGCAGACAAAATTCTAGACATGTGTTTATCACAAACCTATAAACTTTCACTTGCCAGTATTTACTGGAGACCAATGGTCAAAATATTTCGTGGTCGATCTACTTGAAGAGGAAGCCATAAAAAAATCATTGCGTGTTTAAACGGTTCCTTGTTTTTAAACCCAGCTGTTTACTAGCCTTAACTTTGTAACCCACCCACTTTCCACTACTTTTAACCCAAAATTTAAAAGTTTATAATATAGTATGTTAAAGAAAAATATAACATAACGTATTAGTATAACAAAAACTGGTTACATTACCAGCTTGGTATTTTTTCTTAATCTCTTTTACCACTTTGGTATTTTTTTCTAGCTCTGGTGTTATTTGGTATGTATTTTTTCTTGGTCCGCTGGGTATGTATTTTTTCTTGGTCCGCTGTGCAAATAGACCCAAAAGTTGATTGCCCGTGAAAAAACATGCGCATTGCTGACTTGAAGTATACTAAAGGGTTATTTTGGTGGTTAGAATTAGTTGAAGCATGTGGTCATCTCCCTCTTAATTTCATTCAAAATTAGGGCAAGAAACTAGATTAGGGCTTAAATTAAAGTTTTTCCTTTTCAATTTCACATTCATCTTCTCCAACTTCTTAAATATTCAGCATTTCCCTCTTCAGGTTTAAGCTCAAGCTCAAATTCAAATAAAGGTGGACCTAGTCAAAGACATGGTGGTGAGAGGAAGAAGAAAGAGGGCTTGTTGAGCCCATCACCGTTTCTAGCTTTGGTTCAATCCGCATCTCTTTAAATTTAGACCTTGAACTTGAAAAGAGCATGCTGAATATTTAAGAATTTTGAGAATATGAAAGTGAAATTGAAAGGAAGGAACTTTGATTTAAACCTTAACCTAGTTTCTTGAGCTAATTTAAATGAAATTAAAAGAAGCATGTGATTCTCATGTGCTTTAACTAATCCTAATCACCAGAATAATTACCCTTTTACGCAGCGATTTGTGGGTTTTTTGGCAAGCGGTTAACTTTTGGTTCTATGTGTACAATAGGCTTATAAGGAAAAAAAAATCAAAATTGCATGTTAAGGAAAATTATAGTAGTTTATAAAAAAACCAAAATAGTAAAAGGGGTTAAAAAACTATCTAATAATTTAACCAAGAAGACAAAAGGGGTTTACAATAAAAAATTGCATGTTAAGGAAAATTATAGCAGTTTATAAAAGAATTTGTCAATTTATAATAGAATACAATATGTGAAACAGACGTATAGCAGATATAAGAAAAATTGTAGCAGTTCATAATAAAATATACCATGTTAAAGAAAAGTATGACATATTATAACAAAATATAATAAGTTAAAGAAAAGTATACCTGTTTGTAACCAAATATAGTAGTTGATATATAATATAATTGAACTTTTTTAACCTAGCATATGACTTTTATTTAACACACTATATTTTGTTATATAATATTGTTTCATGTGTTGCGTCTTTCTGTCAGCTGTTATATTTTTAAAATGATGTGAGATAAATTGCTAATTAATGAAGGTTGAAGAGAGAGGGGAGTCAGGGGAATGCAGGGTGATGGGACGCGAGAGGGTGGCGGACGAGGGCTCGAGGGAGTCGGTGATTTGCCATAAACAAAAGGGTGAGGATCGAAAACAGACTCGATGTAGTATTGCACAACTGCAATTAGACTCTTTTTTAACTCTATTCCTCCGGATAAACCCCATAGTATTGGGAACTTTTTGACTATTTTACGAGTCAAATATTTTTTACCAATTAGAGATTTATCCTCACCAAAAGACTTAAAATTCACTGTAGAGATCTACACAAATAAAGCTACAAAAGTCTATTCACAATTGGGTGATAATATAACAATGAATATGTTCTAAATTA